TTATGGTTGTACGGCAGTGAAGCATCAGTGCCAACACTGATGTTGCTGTCATTGATGATGATGATGATGATGTCTGATTTCAAGCGAGACGTACGATGTGATTACAGAATTCCCTTAAGCCTCAGGAGAATGACTATATTCTCAATCAAATGTCGCTGAGCTTCTGGTCCCAGCAGCCTTCCAGGTGCCCTGTTCAAGAATATCAGTGAATTCTTCTGTCCAATGTGTTTGCATCCGTGGAACCTCGATTGTTAAGAGTCTCTTTAAAAAGGTGCTTGCGGTGAATATGGTGACCACAGGTCTGCCAGTCTTACTCCCGTTGTAACAAAGATTCTAGTCTCCGACGACACACAGTGCCTTAATGCGTGAGTAACAGGCGGGGTTTCAACCTTGTGGGGGTGAAATCGACATATTCAGATTTTCCTAATCATCATCAGCTATACGAACTGCATATTTGCCTTACAGTGGTTCCAGCTGCCACAGTTTCGTTCACCGATGATTTGGGGAAGCGGGGTAAGTAGCTGTCATTGAACCTTTAATTGGATAGACTCGAAGGGGAGTTATGCGTTGAAGGCGATCGTTTGAATGCACAAACTTCACTGAGGGAGCCACCAGGCCATGTCTGCCAGTGTTCCTGACGGTTGATCTGTCTCGTCTCGGGATCTCCATTTAGGGGGACGCCAGTGATCAGCGCAGCTAAGTTTGCTGGTAAAGGCTTTCGTATTTCACTGCTAGGCCTTTGCTTGATCTCTCTTGACTCGATTCAACTTTTCATGTAGTTGTACGAAAAGATCCTTTCGAGGAACTCGGCTGGCTGTTATGCAGAACACGTAGTCAAGCCAGCGCAACTTACAGTATGTGACCAGTCCATCTATCGTAGTCGAGTTATTTCTTGCGCAAACCATTCAACGTGCTTGAGGATTACTGACCCGATGTTCTCGCTGGACTCGAGCAGTGCTCCGAAGACATCGATGGTCGAACACTGAAAGTCATTTGATGTTCTCAGCGTTCAGCTACCAGGATTGTGACCCGTATAACAATATGAAGTGCACCGCAGCATTGTAGACTCGACCATTGACGGATAAGCTGATGTCATATCAACGTTACATGTAATGCAGGTTCACGAAAGTTGCCCTAGCCTTCCAAATCTGATTGGAAATGTCATGTTTCGGGGGACCACCGGGACTAATGCAGCTGATCAGGTAGAGAGATCCGTCTATCTCAATCGCAATCATGAGGTAGGGATTCGAGCCCCCCAGTCTTGCAGCAGCACTGTACTTTTTGCAGGCGTGAAACGCATACCGAGCCTTGAGGCAGAACTGTTTAGAGAATTTAGAGTACTTGATTATCTGATATTGTTAGCATTACGAGGGCGTCAGATTGGTGAAGAGCTATGCCGTCTGCGTACTCGATATTTGTGAGTGAATGCCTCCGGAGCACCTCGACCCCATAGGCTTTAGAAGCCTGTGGTGAATCTTCGCTAATCGTATCAATGACGCAGTTGAAGAGAAGAAGTGAAAGGTGGCAGCTTTGCCTTGCACCATTTGAAGTGAAGAACTCAGGCCTTCACGCGTCCACGGAAGTTGGCGCGCAGAGCTTTAAGGAAGGTCAGGAATTTATGGAGAATACCTTTGCTTGACAGAGGCTGTCATAGTCCCTGACGGTCCATAAAATCAATGACAGCTTTGAAGTCAAGGAAGGCAACCACATTTGGTTGCTGGAAGCAGTATCACTGTTTTTGAGTTTGTCGGAGGGTGAAATTCTTATCGATACACCTTGCACGACGAATTCCAGCTTTTCTATCCCTGTGTGTGGTTAGCCTTCGAAATATAAGACCCCGTTCCATGCCGCAGCTATCAGGGTGATGTCACGGTGGCTTCACACACTATCCGTCTAACCTTTTTGAAGATAGTAATAACTGTTGATGTACCATATTCTCCAGGCACTTTCTATTCACTCCATATCGCACGAATGATCTTTGTCAGATGAGTTACAAGGGATTCTCCGGCTTCTTTCAGCGGGGCTGGCCACAGACGGTTCTATTCTGGTGCCTTCCCATGTTTCAGCACGGATATTCGGTACCTTGCTTTCTTCCGACGGACGATCAGAATTCACATTCCATTCCGACGTATGCGCTATCTCCAGAGGTTGTGTTGTGGGAACCTGGTTGCTCTCAAAAGTTTTCGGCTCATCTTTGTAGTCGACTTTTTTGCGAGCGAATTAATGGGCCGCATTTTTCACTCATAGTTTCACTGACCGTTGCTTTTCTAAGGTCAGTTGATCGTATTGATTGGTATAGGGCACAGCCATTTCTGATATCAGGTGCCTTCTTTTGAGCTTTCGTTGTCCACCAGGGCGTTCGGTTCTTATTCAGGTTTTTTACTATTCGGTGTTTGAGGACTTCGTATACTTCGTGGCACTCTTATCTGCTGATATGGATTTCCTGGACTAGCGATCTCGACGGTATTTAATGGTCATTTGATTGTACCGGAGAAGCCGGACAGGGATCTGAAAGCCTTCTAACTCTTTCTTGCGTCATATACGTAGTCTCTACAAGTGCACTTTTGGCTTATCCTAGTGGGTAGTTGGGCTAGCTCGAATCGATACTGCTGAGCTGTGGTAGTTATCCGAAGATGGTGGGTTGGCTTGTCTTTTGCTGACTTGTGATGACCTGAAGATGAGCGAATTGGTGAGTGCGCTGGCATTGTGATGTGATCGGAATCAAGCTGTGTGCCCCAGAAGGAACGGGCTCTCAAGTGGTGGCTAATGGCCACGTGATCCAGCTGGGTCCACAGTTGGTTTGCAGCCGGTTGCCGCCAGGTTACGCGGTGCGGACGTTTATGCTGAAAGTCTGGCGAGAAGCGCTTCATGATCAGCACACAAGTGGAGGAGTCGCTGTCTTTTGTCTGTGCAATGAGCATAGACTCCAAATCAACCCCCAAGTTTTGACTCCAAAGAGCTCAGACGACTGATTTGGGCGTTCATGTCTCCCGAAAGTATCACAATGTCAGTGCTTCTTGCTCGACTAATAAACCCGGATAGCTCCGATAGAACTTATCCTTCTCAATTTCAGGACCGCAGTACGTTGGGACATAGGCCGATACTACAAACAGGCATCGTTTTTTATGGTGAGAGGCATTGAGGTTGATATAGCTGGATAACCTGACAGCACAGATAGGATTTCTCATTGGGGTCCACTCCAGTAATGCGCATATATATATTCCACGAGTCATTGCCTCTGGGTCACCGGACACACGTAGAGTGAAAGGTGAAGGAGTTGAGTTCGTCCATTCTGTTTTGAAATGCATGGTCACACTCGGGTCTTGTATGCGTGTTTCAGAAACACCATATATCAATTTTAGGGGAGTGTAAAGTTTCAGCGCATATTACCTATTCGCCAACCTGCCGTAGAGTACGGACGTTAAAAGCTGCTATGTATAAAGACTCTTGAACTGGACAACATGTTATTTTGTTTATTGTTTATGGACAATGGGTTGGATAAGGCACTTCGGTCAGCTTGTATGGTTCGAAGGGGTTTGGGAGGGAAATCGGTGGATAAAGAACTCTGCGGGCTGTTTACCCAGGCCGCGGAAGAGATTTTGGTGAGATAGCCACCTTGAGCCTTCGACTCAGAAGTCTGGCCCATAAGGCAGTAGGAGGATGTAGGGCTTTGTTCGGGGACCTTGCCTCTAGCCTCTGACTCAAAAGTCTGACCCACGAGGCAACGGACATTAGGGCTTTTTTCGGGAACCCTGTCCAGAGCCGATGACTCAATAGTCTGACCTGCTCGGTTGCAGGTAGAGCTATAAATGCTCTATCTTGATTGACTGACATTCTCGCTAGTCGAGGCGTATCCTCGTTTGGTCTGTACCCAGTACGTGACACATCCGTTCAGTCGCGCGTGATATTCGGTTATTAAGGGTGGCTTGCCTCCGGACACTCGTTGGATCGCCGAGTGATGCAAACCGCACACTGTTGCAAAGAGGGTAATCCACAGTCCATAATTGTGTGCTATTTATACTCGTTCCGCTGCTGAGCATCCCGTGCCGATCTTTATTAAGAAAGGTGCCTTTTATTTATTTATTTCACCATATGATTCGCGTGATTTAAAAGAAACTTGGGAAGAATACGGCCACCATTGGGTTTTTGAGCGCACAACTGTACAAGAGTTAATCTGCATATGGGTAAGTGTTGGTTCTGTCTTGTTTGCGAATTTCGTTATATTGTGAGTTGTTAATTAACTACGAGAGGTAACGTGTTGTCACTCAGGCTATCAGTCAAAGCTACGATACGTATGCTGAATTCGCTCACGTCTAAGTTAACATGACTTCCCCCACTGTTTTTCGCCATACGGGACAGTTACATTAATTGGTGCATGTTTATTCCCTGAATCTCTCCAGGTTTACCGACAGAAGCGATGGACACGCATAATGAGTGACAAACTGGTTGCCGGTGATATCGTATCGGTTGCCGATGGGAATCAGAAATTTTTGATCCCATGTGACTTACTTCTTGTCCGGGGAACTTGCGTCATTGATGAATCGATGCTGACTGGGGAGTCGGTTCCCGTAAGCAAGGCAAGTGGATGTAAATGGTCATCTTTTAAGGTAATCCGATCGGAAGTTATGTCCTTCGAATTCTTCTGCCAGTGATAACAGAGGAACGTTGTCACCCGAGCTTCAATATCAACGCAATTTCAACGCACCCCTTGAGCACATTGCTTCCATTTCCATTTGTCTGGCATCCGCTGTCCGCAGGGGAAATTGCTTCCTTATAAGAAGGAGCATAAAAATGACCTAACGCTAGTCTCGGATTCTTAAAATTTTGTGTAAATTGATAGAAGCTCATCGGAAAACGGGTTATTGTCTTTTCTTGAAGGAAGCTACTCATAAGGTCGTTAAAAACTCTTCGACATCCCACAGTTGGTTTCACCGGGAGCTTCAACTGGGAGTCAGATGAGTCTACTGTGAAAAATAAATAGGTATGCAAATGATTGCATTTTTCGAATTTCGTGCGGTTTGGGTTTAAGTAGAGCATAAGTTTGACGGGAACTCGGGGACTGCACCGAAAATGGCGAAACTGGTTGTGGGCTGCTGAAGACTTTTAAGAAACCTTGTGAGTACTTTCTTTCCTGAAAATATATTGCGATATCCCGAATGTCGTACCAATTGAAACACGAGGCGATCTTCGTGCACTACATTCGGTTGAAGAACACCATAAGCGATAGATTCAGATGAGACTTAGGCAAGTCTTCATTGAAAACCAAATTGGTATGAAAATGAACGTATTTATAGACTTTTCTTTTTTTTGTATTGAGTACATCGAATCTGAGGTGACCGATCACTTATATCCTTTTTAAACTGTACTCAGGCTTTTATTAGGAAATCGCGCGTGGTACATTCCTTTATTTGTCATATAATTACGGGCCTTATAAGGACTAACCCTCTCAGTCTGATCCAAAAGAATTCTCTCATTTGTTAACAGATAAAGGACCATGATAGAGCCCCGTTCTTCCAATTACGACTACTCCCTGGAAAGGCCTCTCTGAAGGGTGATCACTCTACAATAGCCTTCCTTTTCAGGCTGAACCAAGTAACTGATTCCTAAGGGAGACCATTCTCATGAAGCATCAATCGCCTTCTTAATCTTGGTATTCTGTTTCAAAGATCAATCTCTATCGCTTGTTGTTACTAACGTCGTTGGTAGAGTGCTGTGCTACTGTTCTATGTGCATCCCCCGAAGAAGTGCTACCCGTAGAAGGGATGCAGTTGGCGCTTTGGTACTTTATAATGGGGATGCTCTTTATATCCAGTAGCCAAGTAAAATGCCCTTCTCTCTACATTCGTGGGGAAACATGTCGCAGTTGTAATTTTAATGCCGTAACTTTCTCATTTCGCTGGTAAAACAACGACTGTACGCACTTTTTGTCTGTCAGAGTAGCGGACTCTTCCATACTTGTTCCGTGGAACACTGAGAAATGAGGTTAACCAAGTGGACAACCCTCAGGAGTGGTTTTGGAATAATAAATACTTCAACTGTCTGTTTGGTTGACAAGATAGGCAAACTGATCCTGACAGCCGTAATACTGCATGGTTGGAGCCAAGATATTTATTCCCTGAGAAAAAACAATGGGCGACCGTCGCCGGTTTCCCAACGACAGATGGTTCAGCTAAGTCCTTGGGGCGAGGTGGCCCAAGTGGTTAGAGCACGAATCCACTGACCGGAAGGTTCGTGGTTCGAATCCGACCTCCGCCACTCGACTTCCCTTGTCTAGGTTTGGGCAACCTGGCAGTATCCCAGCCGTCGTGCTTCCTTCGGGTGGCGTGGCAGCTAGGCACCGAAAGGGTGCTACAGCTGAGCGCTTTCTTTCTTTCTGACTAACTGAAGTTGGTGGCCTCCACTTAGCATATTCGAGCGCCTGTGTTGAATTCATACTGACTGAACAAACGAAGATCATAGCATAAGTTGAGAATATTGTTATAGTCCATTGAGTATAAATTTCCGTAATGTGTGTCTTGATTTAGCCCACGTTTTTTCGGCGTCGGTTTGTCACTTTCATATGTACCCGAAAAATAGCTTTTTTCTTTAGGATATGGCGTGAATCATTATGAAAAACATCGGCAGCTCTGTGTCCGCCTGCGCCACTCATTCTACCTAGAACATGGTGTGTGGAGTTTCCCATTCTAGATACCGACTACGGTCACTCACTCTTTGCATTCAGTATGAAAAGTTTGAAGAAAGGTTGATTCAGTATGAGTTCTCTGTTTCCGGTCTGCTGCTAGGTTCTGAAAATGCTAAGCGCTTGAAAACAGCATCGCAGTCGTTGCATGGTTGGAGCAACTCCAGAACAAATTTGTGCCTAGCGAACACAGTGTTTAAAAAGTATGACTTGAATCGCGTCTGTGCTGCGCGCCCATCAGACGTTTTCCATAAAGCGTCCTAATATCCAGCCTTGACTGTATTTGGTGATACAGTCTTTGTGGTAAGGCAGACCGAAGACGGCTACAACCAACATGACTGTGGGATCACCGAATTTTCTGTCCTGAGTCATCCCTCCCTTGGATGTAGCTCAAACCCCAGCAGGACGCGGTGTAAGACCGTTCCTGTTCCACAGTTTTCTGTAACTGTGTTTCACCTATCCATAAGTCTGCAGTTGGGCTACTTCATGTGTTTGCCAAAATCTAATTCGATGTTACAACAGTCGAATCTGCCACGAAACTGACCCACTGATGTCCAGCTTTTATTTCAGCGAATGAAGGTTCATGCTTCGAAGGGAAGTCTCGACTTCGCGATAACGTAAGATAGCGCCAACCTCCAACCTAATGCAGTCTCCCTTGCTGGGAGGGCTGCATATCTCTACGTATCCCATATCGGTGACGTGATCCACTGTTACTTATATCTTAACAGTAGATATAGTGAAAATGTATGAATGAGGGATAAGCTAACGGTGGCCACTCGATAGCCAAACAGCGCCTTAACTACTGGTTGACCATAGTGTCAGGTTTGGTTTCTTTCATTCAATGTTCCTCAGAACCTGCACGCAGGATAGCTTTTCGGGCGCATAAGGGTATCTTGCTAAGTCACCCATTTTCGACCTTATGCAAATTTTGTTCCTAATACTCGCTAGAATGAGACTAGTTGGAAAGAGAGTGCCTTTGTTTGTCGTGAAGATGGATTTGTTGCTACAGTTGATTTGATCGTGGATATATCAGAAAGTGTAACAAGAAGGCATAAATCAGGTGTCCAAGCGCTTTTCGCAGTCTTATACTACTTATATGGTTGAGAAAAATCCTCCAACAATTCACTCCCTTCTCGGTGTTTATCATTGGCCGTAGGCGAGTTTTAATCAATATCGTAAACCAGAGCTTCAACGAGTCGCAGTCATAACTTCCATTGCTATCAGATTAAGTAGCAGTTGAGTTTATAGTGCCCAAGTCAGTGCTCACTCCTTATACTCTATCATCCCTTGTCTTGTTCGCATTCCGTTCTATGTACCGTATCAGTGTGTTTCCTATGAGCATTAGCTCGGCGAACAGACCAACAATCAAGCAGCACACCCGAGCTATCTACATTCCACAAAATTGCCATTAGCATTCCTGTTCCCAGTGAAAGGTGACCGTTGTTCTGTACCCTATCAGAAGGATCCATATGTATGTTTTCATTCGAGTTTTACCAGGTTACAACGATTAATAATGGAACTTGCCCGACGTTCGAGCACCACGCCAGTTTTCGGTTAGAATAACTTTTTGACACTGATCCTGCTATGATTCTGTGTGATCGGAATCCGTGTTGCTTATTTGTCAACTCTCCTCTCGACCCCCTGAGAAACACATTCAGTCTTTCGATGTGTCTTCCAGTCGGAATAGGAATTTGCAATACGTTCACTTCATTCTTTCTTGGTCTTTCTCCATGAACACTTGGAAGGATCTGGACAGCTTAGTTTACTCGGTGTCCTTCCATGAAATATCTGCTTTAGTTTCTTCAGCTGTTTTACTGGTCTTCGTCCTTGAGAGCCGTGAATCATTTTGCTGGTTAAATGCTTGCGTTTTCACCTGAACAAGATTTAACTGCAGTGCTACTCTAGAGATTCTTTCACAAGGATATTGTTACAGGTATCTTTTAGTGTTAGATGCTCGCCAGCATTGCGCGGGTTTTTTTTAAAAACTTTTTCGTCTCTCCACGTTATAATCATACGCATCAGGAACCTTGCGAAGCTCTTCGGCCTGACGAGCAGTTCACATTTGATGAAGGTCACAAATCCCAGGTGCTGTTCGGTGGCACAAAAGTTGTGCAGTTCAATCCGCCCTTGAAATCTTCAAACCAATTGAAAGGTGAGTGGCAAAGATCTATCATTGGTGCGCTTGATTTATCCGATTGCGAGTTAGACTATTCTTCACTTCTCCATAATTTCCACAGGAGCCCTGATCAGAACCAAGCCGGTTGATTGGACTTTTTTTCCAAAGGTTAGGGGATCCTGCTACATTCACCTGCTACGTCCTGCTCTTCAGGACGAAGAGTGTAGTTTGTTGTACTTCCAGATCTGACATCTCTTAGTGGCATTTCTGAACGATAGAGGCATGCTTCCGTAGATATATGTTATTCAGTCGGAATAAGTCCAGTAGCAGAGCCACGTTAGCCAAGGTTGCATTTTTACCGCAGTCCATTCTACCATTGTTGTTATTTCTCTCTGGTGAGATAGTGCGTTGTCTGATATCGAAAGGTGTTGCGATCATTCCTAGTGAAGCTGACTTACTGGCCGTGTATACTCTTTGTTACCTGCTTTGCCAGTATCTGAATAATCTGACTACTTCTCATTTTCAAACCTCGATGTGCAAGTCGAACGTGAATACAATAGATTTCTTTTTAGGTGAACTACAAGCGTTAGTTAAGATGGATCAGAACACTATTTATCAACATCACACAGAAAACAATTGAGGGCTTCCATGTCAGCAAATTGATTTACGACGACGCACGTGGATGTTCGCCTTCTCAGGACTAACCACATGAAGTGAAATTCTGTTACAATGAACTCAGCTGGCCGGGAAAAAGCTCATTGTGGTGAAAATCTACTTGAACCATCCTTATTGCTCATCACTACCGTAAAAGACCTCAGTGGTGGACACTTGTGGGAGGTCACCTACCTCGGCGTGTGATGGTCCCCATTCACCACGGAAGACCCTTTGTCGACGTCTGTGTTGGCAACCGAACGCCGAAAGCTATAGAACTGAATGTGTGACCGTGAACATAAGCAACAATGATCCACCCTGTTTTACTTTGTTCCGTTATTCCTTATTTCTTGGGACTAAATAGGGTAGTCATTATGTGGGGTGCTACATATATGTATTGTTTGTATTGTACTGTTTGCAGTAGGTGTCAGTTTGGATATGTGGTAATTGATTTGTGCTAAGTTCCCATTGTCCATATCACATGCTTATGTGATTTTAGAGACACGCCGCGGCTTAGTGTTCGGCTAGGTGTGACGCAACGTTTTTTGTAATGTACGTTAGTAGAACGCATTGAAGTGTTACTTCTACCCTATTTCTATTTAGCTCCAGACAACGGCTGCATTTGCTTTGTTCTTCGTACCGGATTGAGCACGTCACAAGGACGACTTCTCAAAACCATCATGTATAGCGTAAAGACCGTGACAGCAAACAATCTGGAAACCTTCTTGTTCATTGCATTTCTCCTCATCTTTGCCGTCGTAGCCTCTGTGTACGTTTGGGTGGAAGGTAAGCTGTGCAAAATTTCTCACCTTTTACAGTTCCCTTACATTCATAACATCGAGACTGACAGCGCAGTATCTATCCTAGCTGCTGTTTGGTTTATAAGTGAAGACGGCGAACAGCACTATATTGGATATGGTGATTGTCAGCCTGAACTCCTGATCCTTAGTAGTTTGATAGCTGGATTGATTTTATGAACTAACTGTTTGGTGGTCGATTGCTTTGTTTTCAGAAGGGACCTAGTCAAACGTGGGAAGTGATTTTTCCGCTGCTTCAAACCTGTGTCGTCTCAAGCTCTGAAGGGGTGTTTTGGGAATAAGAACAATATTTTTTACACTCGATTGATCATACTTATCAGGTCATATTTTTTTGATCAGATTAGCTAGTCGATTTAGGAAAGATTTTTCTAACCACAATCCGGTGGGTGGGAACAACCAATGGTGGTAGCTGTAATAGATGCAGAAAGGTCAGCCATTTGTCGATATCCTTTTTTGATAAGTTTATGGGCGGAGAAAATGTGGGATAATCGCTACTGGAGGTGTCTTTGGCTCTACCATAAAGGAAACCCACACAGCAATTACTGTGTGAGGTGTAATAGCAGGATTGAGCTTAAATAAACCAAGTATTTTCATAAAACTACTCACAAGGTTGCTGAAAACTGTTCGACAACCTTGCGAGTAGTTTCCTTTATGAAAATATACTGCGATATCTCGAATATCGTGCCAAATGAATCATGAGGCGGCCTGTGTGCAGCACATTCAGTTGTAGAACATCATAAACAAGATATTCATTTGAGTCTCGTGAAAACCAAATTGATTTGCAAATGAGTCTATTTCTCATTAACCCAGTATTATTGCGCTTGTTTTGTCTACTACTCTTGAGAGGCCATAAGCTCTTATTCTTGAACTGCTGGCACAGACAGGTTTGCTTATCCCTCAATGTTTCCCGCACTGTTTGCTTATCCCTCAGGAAGGACTTGGTGATCCATACATAGTGTGCTGGATTTATGATCACTGTTCTCTCCATTTAGCCTTCATGTCATTACTCCTACTTCAATAAGATCAACGCTTTTAAACTCAATGTATTCTTCTATGCCTCAGCTGTGAAGTATGACCCCGCTCAATTCCGACCGATTTTTCCGGCAATTATAACTTTCGTTTTCCAAGTAATAGAAGTTGATCTGCGTCTTCATTGCAGCCTGTGATCTTTTGGTAATAAAGATTTCGTTCTGTTAACTACTTCAATCCATGCCAAAAAGCCGAGAAACACGGACTGTTTCATTTTTATTGGAAATCACCAGCTGTGCGTAGCTCATGAATCTACAGAAAGATTCAAATTGGCGACCTTCCTGCCAGTCCACAAGGACCGAACGGTTCGGTCACGAGCGACTGATCAACAGTGTGAGCAGCTCGGACAGGACACAGCGCTACTCATCCTTCAGTCATGAAGTTCACATCATGTGGTCACGTGTCGACAGCTGCTGACATTGTAGGTAGAACCATGTGATCTACCCACAATTAACAGAGAAATTCTCTCCATGATATACGGGTGTGACAAGTCGGTTCTTGGATGTGTAAAAAGGGGACGCTCTCATTTCAGAGGAGACAGTGAGAGTCCTTCAGTGGATTATGATGGAGGTGCATGAAAAGACGGATTTGACTCATTTTATAGTACAGAGAAATCCTTAGAGGTGGCATCAAATAGGGTTTGTTGAATGTTTGTGGCACTAACTAATATAATGCTAAAAATCTCTTTCTCCTATTACGGTTTTATCTTTAGTGTTTGGCTTCTTTAAAGTCCTGATACGTAAAAAACATTTGCTGGGTATCATACAAGTCAGGTTTTTTCATCGTGATGAATTTGAAAAGGGTGTTTAGCAGTTATTCCGTCGTCAACGATGATGGTGACGATACTGGGAGGATTCCTCTGGTTACATAGGTGTTCTTGAATTCTGAAGACCGGTTCATAACTGTTTTTGTGTAGTGGTCAAGTTTTTTTGAGCGTCACTCAGGATCGTCGAAAATTCATCTATATATCTGTTACCTTTGGCAAGCTTGCCCACGCATCGGTAGCAGTTTGTCGTTATTGCATCTTTGTTCTGTCCTCGTCCCAGTCAATTTTTCTTCCTCCAAGGGTTCCACATCAGAATCTTCAGTCTCCAGTCCCTCTTGACACACGCTGTGTTCTTGTTTAAAACACATATCATCACATGGCTTTCAGCGTTGGCTGAATCCACCTGCAGAATCTCACCACCAATTCTTTTACACAATCTCGTGCTCCGTATAAGTTATGCAAGGCAGATGTTACCCATTTAGAGACAGCTAATACTCACTACTGCGCATAACACAATGCTCGTATCAGCTGTTGTTAAAATCCAACTTAGCTTTGGCTAACCCAGAGTGCATTTAGTAGTCTCTGCTTCGTTTTTTAATTCCGCATCATGACTGTTCATCTGTATGAACGACCGCAACAGTAATGGTGGTAAACCCGTTTTAAATCCTCAAGCCTTTTGTCTATCTAGACATATTTCATCAAGTCTGCATTTCATAAGACGTCCGTCACTGGATAGTATGACCACAAATTTTTGACGGCGGCGTGTGGGCAATTGAAATCCAGCAATCGAATCACTCATCAACTGGGAAACGTTTCTATTATCATTGAGCACACCCAGAATGATTGGATATTTGAAGACTGATATCCGGGATTTCCGACTCAAACAGTCTTATTTAAACATAATTTTCCTTATATGATGCTTCCTTCAATGATAATCCACTGCTTTTTGTTTCTTCATTCGTCACAGGTTCTGTTGATCCTCGTCGTAACAGATACAAACTGTTTCTCGAATGCACACTGATTCTCACGTCAGTAATACCGCAAGAATTACCGATCGAACTTTCGCTCGCCGTCAATTCTTCACTTGTAGCTCTGTCTAAGCTCAGTGAGTTCGGTTTGTTTTTCTGCAGTTGAAGTATCCGGTAGGCTCTTTGGGGTCTTATATGCTATCTAGTTTGCATGTGTGCGTGTTTCATTCAGCTCATGCGGCCGTTCCACTAACGACTGTACTGGACGATTAGTTTAGTTCCTACACAGAAAAACTATGCAGCTGCTGGCTGTCCTGAAGGGGCACGAATCTGATCACCAAACCGCCAGATATGCTCTCTTTTTTTCAACAGATATTTCGGCCAACTGACTTCGAATTATATGGCCTTGTTTTTCATACTGGAAGTTTAAGTAACCAACCCATTGGGTTCTGGATCATCACCTCATTGTGATGTCATCCACTGTGACTTTTTAGTGGTTCGTTCACCTCATTTTATCCATGGGATGTTTGATGGATGACATCATTCCCGTCCAGTCGCAGTTGCGCTAGCACGATCGTAACATTATTTGCGGTGGTATCCAGTCGACTTTGATTCTGGTATCTTCTGTACTGGATTCGGGAGCAATGTTTAAGGTCATTTCTCGTGACAACATAGGTGTAGGTCGTTTGTTATCTAGTGGAATGACAAGAATCAATGAGTTGATCCCTGATGGTGGGCTTCTTGAATTTTGATGGATGCATCTGTCCACGTTTTAATTGCTTTAGGTGGCGATTGATTCTAGGAGAATGGTGCTATGATATTTATTAAATCCACCTACTATCTACCTTTAAAAGGGCAGTTCAAATTCAAATCGTAGACGGATAAGGTTGTTATTTCATTCAGCTCATCCTGCTATTCAGATTCAACCAGTTTTTGGGGATATTTTGCAACAGGTCCTCTTTGGGCGGTTTGTGAGTTTCGCCGTGCGTTTCTTCAGGATGTTCTGATTATTATACTAGTGATGTATGCCGACACATCTTTTTTTATTGTTCATGGATTTATTCGGAAGTCTAGGCGACATTATCCGCCACTAAACCTCTGTCATCCCCACTGCTGAACACCCTAAAGTTATGGAAGGGTATTTGTTTCGATAGTCGGTGCTCTGTGTCCGCACTGAATACGAGTGAAGTAATTTGGTGTTAGGTAAGGGGCCTATTTGCACTTATGACAGGGTCAGGCGCGGTATCCGGTTCCCACTTGAGCACAGATCGTTACGATACAATCGTAAAGCTGTGATTCTCGGAACTTAATCAGCCTTTTTCAATGGATAACCACATTTGTGTGATACTGGTTAAACACTTGACCACAAACAAATATCCTGGGTTCTGGAGAAGTCACTTAATCCCCAAATTGTCTCGCTCGGCGATCGCAACGTCAGTTGCGTTCGAAGCTCAGGTGTTCTTTGTAAGATGGGAACACGTTGCTTCCTGAGCCTCTTTCTTGGCAAGGAAATTCGATGTTGACCATTAAGCCAGGATGGGATTATTCCTGGAAAGCTTGCGCTATGCATCGCAGCCGGCTGACTGTTTCGTTCAATTCCTTAGTGCAAAAGTTAGCATATTTCTTTCAGAAGTGAAGAATTGGGTGCTGTGTCACACGTAATCCGTTCCCTACCGCCTAGGACTTCGTCATAAATTGAAGCTTCTTCGAAAAGCCCAGCCATTTGAGTGATTTCGTCTTCATTATGACTCATCAGGTGGGCATAGAGGATCAGCAGTTCTACGCGTCCGCCGATCAGCTGGTCACCTTCAATTAGTCACCAATAATCTGATGTTGTTGTCCACGCTACTTGTAAGCGGGCAAATCTTTTACCGCTCCAATTGAAGCGCCGACTTTCCGATGTTCGGACTAATGTACGCCCTATTGTTTTTAACTGTTTGTTATTCGAAAGGCGGTTAACGTCTTTTCGGTGTTTGGCACCAGATCGATTACTCCTGATGGAAGTGAACTTGAGGAGCGAATCGCTTTTGATTCCGGGTTTAGTAGCCTGAAGTAATCGATGGGCATGCATATCCTTCGAAGTAGTAATTTTAATATTTTCTGATGGCTTTTTGTATGGAGCGGCGATCTCTCACGGTGATGCTACTGAAAAAGTACACAAACTTTCGATGGGGTTTCTGTTATGAGGGCAAAGTTTAAACACAAAGCTGTTGTATGTGCAACCAACCTGATGGGTGAAACAATGATGGCGTTTTGACGTATGATGTACTTTCAAGTTGTAGATAATTCAGCATGATCTCGGACTGTTGCAGTCATCCGACTTGTTGGATAATCATTTCCCAGTAATGCTTTGCTTACAGCTGTTTTTAACTTCTTCAGAAAGTTGCAGATTCTATGGCCAAATCCTGTTAGTTCAGTATGATCAGGCCCAGGGATTTGAACTGGGATTAGGCTGACGGGGCTTGATGATAACATTGTCTTTGCGCACCAATCAGATAGTAATCAGAATGAGCGCAGCAGTGGATCGTTTAGTTCATACTAACAGCTTTTGCAGTTTACTCACCGACTTTACATGAGTAGAAATAACTGGTCATGCATTGTAGCTAGCAATTTAGACCAGACATGCGAAGCTCTTGTTGGTGAAAAGCGTTGTGTTGAGGATGCCATTCTTTATTATCATTTTGATGGTTGATCTGAAGATCCTGTGCATTGATGGCGGTATCTCTAATACTGGAGCATTACTCGCCACACGACCTTTATATCCTGATCACACAACCGTCAAGTACGGACTGACTAAACTTGGAGTCCTGAGCAGAGATCTAAGGGTTCATACAGACTAGGGTTCTTAGAATTCTGTCCACCTTTTTCGTATGTATAACGGCATATGAGAGTTAGCCTGTATCTAGCTTGGGTATGTCTGTAATTAAACCTGAGGCACACAGGACTAATGATACATTAATGTCCAATTAGTACATACAGTGTACCCTGAATTAGTCCATCTGTCACTTCTTCACCAGAGTACTACAAGCGCCACAAGGATCCGTACCCCTTACTGTCCTTTTGGCATATGCTTTGTATGTTTAAGCGAACGTTTTTGGATGTATTTTCACTAAATGAGGGTGTATCGGATTTGACCAACTCTGTAAAGCCTGGACACCAGTTGCCAAGTTTCATCTACCATAACATATCACTCACTCTGTATTAGACAGTTGAACAAACAGTTGTAGATTATGCAGGAGGAAAACATCTGAAGCGCCTGTGTTTGGTTAAGTCTTGCATATGTTAAGCTACCATGTGCATAAAAGTGCGCTCTCATTGAAGTCCACTTCAAACGGGCATATTGGCGATGAACCACTTAGAGCACAAGGTTCCCGATATCCCGAGACCGCGAGAAATGGCTGATAATCGAAGGTAGTGGTGCTCACACTACCAGTTTCGTGCCGACTGCCTGTGGAAGCATCTATAGGCGTGAGCACATAGGAATATGTGTAGTAGGCTAGCACTGGGTCCCTTTTCCCTGTAGTTACTTTTACAACGAGATTTTCACCAAAGAAATAGTGGTTGTGCTTGAGTGAAGTACCACAATGGCTTGTCCGTGACGAACATGCTTTCTACTATTTTAAGTACTTAATATTTCGCTCTCCGTCACACGCCTCACTGTCAAATTTTCCTTTTTTAATTCTCTGTAGTGGTTTACTGTACAGAACCGTTCCGAATTCCGTTTGCTGGCAAAGTGGATGTTTGTGCCTTTGACAAAACCGGCACTTTAACAGAAGATACGGTCGTTGTAGAGGGCATCTCCGGCTTAAAGTAAGCAACCCGATCCCATATCTCTCCTTGTTCTGATTTATGTACGCACGCTACTAGTGATGGACCCTGTTCATTTGCCACACTTTCTCAATGTGTTCTAATTTCTGACCACTCTGGACAGTGTGAACTATCAAGACCCCTGCACACGTTCTTTTATCCTATCATTTTCCTGTTATTCATCTCGAAAACGTTTCTTACCCATAGTAGCTTTTGTGGTAAAAAATTCTACATCCACGAGATGAATGTGGATCACAGACCTCCAAGTGCTATAGGTTGCGCTATGGTTCGTCCTTGCTGTACCAGAAACCTTAGTTGGCTTAGAGGCTAAGGACGGTGTTTGGTAATAGCTGGTTGCCCCACAATACGTCTGTAGGCAGCGAAATACACTCATTTGGAAACAAATTTGGCTTTGTAAGGGAATTATCTGGAACGTAGCTGAATCTCTCGTTTTCAATGTTTCCAGACAACTGATTGTGCTACGCCTACCTGATGAGCCCCCAAAAGGCCGAAACCGGTCGTGGGCTGTCGAAGAATTTTTAGCAACCTTATGAGTAGTGCATTACGAATATACGTCTGTAGTCACTTTCACCACAAAGTTCTGGTATATCGCGAAAGACGAATCGACTCGATTCGTACGAGAAAACAACCCCTTTCGATCGAATACTTTCTGCCGCACGAAATTCTTCATTCTACAAGTTCCCAGGGACAACACTTTGTGGGTGAAGAAGTCGCTAGTTGACCCCAAACGACATTACCCTTTGTCGTAGATCCAGCCGTTGCGTTAGTCGGCTGGTGCCGTTAGCACCGCTGCTACGCTGTTCACCGATATGGGTTTCATCTGGCATCACTTGGATGATGTTTGTTTGGCTCAAATGGTTTGCTGGAAGTTGTTCTGTAATTGATATCCGCGACGGCGATACTGTAGCTGAATATCTGTAGGAGTCTAAGGTAGTAGGATGATTTTCCACCTTTGAATTACGTATGCCGCGGTTATCGTTCTGTTTTGTCGAACAAAACTACTGGATTGTAGTGATTTACGTGATAGGCAGATTGGACTGTGCTCGTGGAAAGTAAAATTGTGCAACACCTATGAACGTTGTGTTATTTTCGACTCGGCAGCTGTAGTGTGGCTTGCATCAGGAAAGTGCTCGACGAGCGTGGCGGATCAACTGCATCCTGGCGTTGTATTGTTTCATCAATTACAGAGGGTGTCTTTACTTTTTCGTGTAATATCTGAAGAGATTTGTGGCTGATAATTGTCAGTCACGCTCGCCATTTCAATGCACCAATAACCGCAAACTCAGCGGATTCAGCCCATCGGTCTCTAGTGAAATTTGACATAGTCTTCGGCACCCCCATGTGCCCCATGTGACGTAGTCCTATTATGTGAACCTGGTTATTATCGTCTATCATCCGCACCAGACGTGTTCTCATATCCACCCTGGTTTACAGCGCTCACCTAGTCCTGCCGCTACTCGTCTCCAGGACACACCTAATCACACTGATGTCCTCCGATCCCGCAATTTGACTTCGTCTTTGTGGTATTCCTTGGTGTTGTAATTAGCCATTTGTTGTTTGTGTATTCCTTCATAATTAATGCCTGATGAACGGTCATTAAATCCGTCACCCTAACGTTAGTTCATGACATCCTAGCAATGCTGGTAGACGCAGATTTCTACGAGTGAGCCCTAAAGTGGGAAATCTGTTTGTTGGAAGATTGAATTTCCCCACGCATCTACACAAAATCAAGGGGGTGGATGGGGAAGTTCGGACTTTGATGTAACACCACTTTTGCTGAGAAATCAACCAATAATTCCGGCTATTTTTTTTACCGCAGATAGCAAAGAATTGTCCAGCTTACTGGAGGGCTTTACCTACCCTGGTGTTCTACGGCACGTTAAAAATGCCGCTGCAACAGCAGTATTCCCTTATAACTTCGAGGCTGCTGGGCATACCGACTCTTACTCTGTCTTTCAGCATCCTAAGGTGATAATTCAGTTGCTTCAGTTGCAAGCTGCGAAACACATTGCGTAATAAATGAGAACGTAGGAACTGCTAGTTGTGAAGCGCGTGCGCCATACTGATTCACCGGTTGTCACATATGTCCAAAAGTTTGGCCCATTCCATTCTGTTGAAGGTCACGGGGGCGAGATGGCTCAGTAGTGAGAGCGCGAATTTATTGACGGAAGGTCCGTGGTTCGAACCCGACCTCTGCATTTCTTGACTTCCGTCTAGGCTTGAGGTTTTTCGGGTGGCGTGCCAGCTAGGCAATGAAAGGGTGTTACAGCCGAACGATTTTAAAGGTCACTGGAAACCCACAAACCGTTATTCACTTGCTAAGGTACGAGATCGGTTCTTACTGGTCGTTCTTCCCAACAGGAAACACCCATGTTAATGAGGCACTGATATTCCTCAACAGAAGGAATTGTTGTTCTTTACATTCATTATCTTCACTGAGGTTGTGGACTTTTCCCGTAGATGACTGACTGAATGGCGCTTGTGACGCGGTGAACAGCTTTTTTAGCATTACATAAAATCGCCTGTTACGCACCTCACGAATTTTGTCGGCTCTGTATCCACAAAATTCGCGACAAGTAGGGGAACACTGTAGTTGTTTGGTGATTGGTTGATCAAGGTTGCGTTTCTACCTAGCTGATGTACGACTTGTCAGTGTTCTCTTACGGAGAAGAATTATGTTTTGCCTACGATTACTATTATTTTCATTGCTACTATTATGCACACTACTTATATTTTCGCTTCATGCCTTTAGTGATCAGCCTGCAAATAAATTGGTACCTGTTCAACGATGTCCCCTCTCTTCGGTACAAGTGCTTGCCAGCTGTCATTCTTTGGTGCACACACCGTCCGGGTTGGTCGGTGATCCAATGGAGAAGGCTATGCTGTCATCCACCGGTTGGTCCTTGAACAATGATGATACCGTATCTGGGCGAACTGTGCCGCGCAGTCCGCCTTTGCGCATCTGCCATCGGTAAGATCTTTATTATGTACGGATGACTTGGTGCGAGACTGATTCGATGATATTTTGATTTGTTCCCACATCGGGGGGAATCGGTCCTCGTCTGACTTGTCAGGGGTAGTGAATGTCTTAATGCATTTGGTTTACTAGTCACTAAAAGTAGTCTGATATTAACAAATTATTCAGTCTACCCTCTATGTTACCAAGTCCAAGTCTCCGTACCGCTCGTTATTGGTCATTTCTGCGGTTAATGTGAGAAATCACTCTCCCTCGGTCTTTTCTTATGTTCAATCGGAGTATTTGAAGCTGTACAGCTGGTAACAAAATGAAATTAGCCAACTTTCTATGATTTGGTAGCATTGTGGGTGGTTCAGTATTATCTAGTGATCCGGCCGTTGAAAATCCAAGTACATAGTGATCCTTCAAAAGGAGACCCTTTTAAAAAGAACCACTCTCCTCAAAACTCCACACCAGTGTCTCACTTCAGTTCCACCCCAGATTGTTGTCTTCCCGATTTGGATCCCTCCTCAGAAGCCAAATAGCCTGTACGTTCCTGGTGGCCACTCTTGGGATGGAATGCGGTTTCAACATTTAGCCCCCCCCCACCACTGCAACACGCCGTACATCTAGCGGGGCATACATAGACTTGAAATCTCTACACACTTTCCGAAACCATCAGGCGGTGTCAATCTAGCGGGGCATACATAGACTTGAAATCTCTACACACTTTCCGAAACCATCAGGCGGTGTCACGACTTGATTTGGTTCAAGAGCCCTCGAGTCAATAGGACAAAGCCAGCCAATAATCGATATTCAGTAGACGGGTATGTGCTGTTTAAATCAGAATGAGAATAGTGCCGTTCAGAAATACGTATCGGCTTCGGAAATTGAAAAGCTGTTGCCCAACGAGCAGCGCAGTTTCCCCGATTTCGAGGGTGTTCATTTGTCCTGTTTTGTTAACGGTTTAATCACATTGTTAACAACAGATGTTTCGTAATGTTTACATGTGATGCAATAGTGCACAATAGAATTTGGACAGAATAACTCAGTAATCGTAATATGATCCTAGGTACTTTGACCGCTTGTTCAAATTTGTCTGAACAGCTTGTCTCAGAAATTGGAATATTGAAAAAGATTTTCAAATATTAATGGAACTCATCCGTTTCCGGTCTTGTATGTCATATTGAAACTCCCCGAACGACTTCCCCTCCCCTACAACCAGCTGAATTCACATGTTGAGTGAGTGGTGTGGTGGACAACGGTCCTGCATATTCTTCCATTATTGCTGAATTGACGTCTCAGGTAAATGAATGAAGCAATGGGGAAAGTTGCTCTTTCAAAATCTTTTTCAAATATGCACGTAACACGTCATGTATACGGCTACTGCTGGATGGTAGATGCGCTCCTCGCTGTGATGATTTACTCTATAAATAATCATCGGTCTTGTGAAATACCTCTTTATATCTAATTTTCCTTCGTACTCTCACGTTGATGTATGCCAGACCGGACGTTGATAGTTGCAATTGTATCAGATGTAAGTATACATCCTTCTGTGACGTAGACAGGAAGACTGCTATCGTTGGGCAAATTCAACAATGATATCGGTTGAGGAATCCGGGGCAATTAGCCGCACAATGCTCTTAGCTGCAAAACCTTTACGAATGGAGTAAAACGTTTTGCGCCAAAATGTTGCATTTTGTTGCGTATGGGCTCAAACCAAGAACCATCCTAATCTACCTTCATATCTTTACAGCTCACCAAATCTCATTGTCCACCGAAGCAATCATACCCCTGGCGGAAAAGTCTGGTGGAATAATTTCCCAGCATCGCTGAGACCCCGGGATGACTAAATGAGGCTCAAAAGTTTGGGCTGGTACTCCGAACTCAATTGCCTGATCGCTTTAGTTCATCAGGGACACGCCATAGCTTTCGAAAATTCAATTCCACTGTGCGAATACTGAGCGCCTCGTACTTTTTGTATATTCCGAGTATCTACTACTCCTGGTAGTTAGTAGGCAGAAGTTAATGTTATACCATCAGGGGTGCTAGAACGATGTGCAGATTGACCGAGGTGTTTCGAAATTTAAATATAAAGTAGCAAGTTAACTATTAATATGAACGATTTGATGGTGGCTGGGAACCCCAGTCAATTTCATACTGAACCGTCTTGACGTCCATTTAATTTCTGACAGCCGAACAGCACACCTTTGAAGCAAGAAAGTCCTCTTGTGGACAATAGCTCACGGGAAAATCATCGCAAAATTATAATGATAGAGTGATTAAACTCCACGCTAAATCAAGATCGCTGTGGATGCCACTGGTTAGTACCCAGTGAACGATTATCAAAGTTTGCAACTAGCGACCTCTTCTCACGCCAGATAGCATTATAAAACGCATGGAAAACTGCGGCTAACGCGTGGTTTTCCGGTCAGCCACATGTGGTTCGCTAAGGTTCCACCGGATTTAATGCATAAGACAGTCGATTACTAATTTGGATAGGATGGAATCTGCTTGATGTTTTGGCCGATTTTGCTTGTCCTACTTCTCAGATAAAGCTATCCAAATCGATGCTTTTATAGTACTAGCTTGCTCTCAGTAGTTTGCTGCCTATGTCAAAATGCCAACCGCATTGCAGCAGTTACAAGTGGGTACGAAGATGGATGATACTCAACATCGTTTTCAGTGTTTTTAGCTGGCACAGGGGGCGGCTTTGTCAAACATTGCAGCCTCAACAGTGTCATGTAAAACCAATGATGATGGCCCACTGGTTGCAGATAAATATCTAGGGGATGATTGCCCCATTCATTCGCCGTCCAGGTGCCACTTAGATAATATAGGCTGAGATTCGTCTTGAATGGTAACAATACATAACCAATCACATCTTCCACTCCATCACACCTAATGTATCTGTGGAATGGGCCTCTAGGTGTTACCGAACTAACTCCCTTATTGTTCGTTTTGAATTTTTGCGAACTGACAATACATGGCCGATTTAAAATGCTCGACTACTGAAGCATAGTGTCTTTGATCGCACATCGTGTTTTGATCAGGTATCCAGTTGAACTGATTTCATGATTCATCTGGACTTGGAAAACTGTGTGGACAACGCTGCTGGGCGGCTTTTCATCCTACCTGGACCTGTCAAATCTGTGGTGTACTTTCTTCACACATTACATCATCTTATGTATTGGGCTACTTGGTGGGTCGACCGGAAATAAGTGTATGTCTGTGCGGCCGCCTGCTTGATATTCTAAATATCTTTTTTGTCATATCATACTGATGTGTGCTCGACCCAACAACGAGTAGTATATTTTTACCAAGCAAAGGGGTAGTGAAGTGCTTTATTCTAACTTAGTCAAAAATGTAATTCATCGCGTTCAAATCTGTGGTTCAACCAATCGAATCTCCATTTTTCCAATGATCATGTTAAGTTGAGGTGGCAAATTTCCTGAGTAGCATATCTGTGACATTAACACTCCGATTTCAACTGGTGTTTTCCAAGGTGAATACACTGTTCAGATGTCCGTAATCAAATATATGAGTATGTCCTTGTCTCTGCTTTTATTGCGTTACGGAGCTATCGATCAGTTTGCGAAAATGTTCGTTTCATCGTCTTAGGCAGCAAATTTTGCTCATCGTTCTGTTGTCACACAAACTATCCCAAAGAGGTTTTTTATGGTTTCACTATCCGGTGTTCATCCGTCTTTCGCCCTCTCACCCTCAGAGTTCTACAGTCCAAGTTCTGCACCAGGTTTTCCAAGCTTCATTGCTTGTGCAGCATATAGTTAGTTAGTCAGTGTGCCGTCACAAACAACTGAATTTTCACAAACCAATAAGAAAATTGCAATTGGGGTTCATTCGTACGCTTTTCCATAGAGCTACGATGACCTTGTCTGTTTAGGCTACTGTTGGCTTACTAAACCGATGGACTTATTGATCTCATCACTTCTGATTACCACCTGTGACATTCCCTGTTTAGTGTACTGGAACTATAAATGCTTCGTTGCTATTTTCACTTCCAGGTTCCGTTTTAGCAGCACTTTGCGACGGATGTCTGTGGTGGTTAGTCATCAACTTCCATCCAGTGTCGATCAGACGTACCTGGCCTGTGTAAAAGGCTCTCCTGAGGCAATTCTACCCATGTTGATAGATGCACCCCCGGACTATGACGAGGCCTACCTAACTATGGCTCGCCGTGGTGCTCGTGTCCTGGCTTTGGGGCAGAAGTCTTTAGGACAGTTAACCCATCAACAAGTGCGTTCATTTTTCCAGCCAAGTATAACATTTTTTCGAGTGCATTTTAAACTGATGAGACTGTGTTCCACCGCTGCTTGTTCATTTCCTTTTAGGTCAGAGATCTTACCCGTGAAGAGGTTGAATGTGGACTCACCTTCTGTGGTTTTGTACTCATCTCCTGTCCGCTGAAGCCAGATTCCAAAGAGGTTGTTCGTGTACTTCGTGAATCTAGTCACCATGTCACTATGATTACTGGTGACAACCCACTCACTGCATGTCATGTTAGCACGGTACTGGAACTGGTTCGGCCAGATACGCATGTTCTTATTCTAACGCCTCCAAACGCCTTAGGTGAGTTGTTGAAATGTCTATCCAACTTTTATGGGTACTAGACCACTATACTGATTTTCCTTAGTTCTCAATTCACGGGAACAACTGGAAGACCTACGTTGCATAGTGTTGACGTTCCATGTACTTTCATCACTCGTATACGCAAACTATATGAGCATTTCTAACAAGAAGGCGTAGGAACAACTACACAAAAGGACAGTGTGCTGTAAGAGATTGGAGTGAATGCAATTCAGAAAAGATATCAGTTACGGGTCAATAATTTTCGTTTCCACAGTACTGGTCTCTGTGTTGTAATTAGGATGGTCTCAATGGGCCCCAGAAGCCTGGGGATGAGATTACGGATAGCAGTTGTAAACAGAGGGTCATAGTCGTAGACGTGAGCGGTCTCAACCAGGATAGCATGCACTCGACCAAGCCAGAATATATATCTTCGTCTGTTATATATATATATATATATATATATATATATATATGTATATATATATATGTCACAGCGCTGACAGACCTCCTCGCTTAATAGGTAATAAGATATGTGGTTTGGGTTGGGCTGTGTGTCGTTCGGACACTGTTTCGGTGCCTAGTTACCGTGCCACCTGAATGAAGTACGAGGGCTGAGCCACTGTAAAGTCGCAGAAGAGCAGCCGAGATGCGGAGGTTGAGTTCAAACCACAGACCTTTCGGTCAGTTAGTTGTGCCCTTTCCAATTGAAATATCTCTCAGCTGGTTGTCTAACCAACCAAATTGCCTGCATCCGGTGTGGACCGAAAAATCGAGACCGGTGGACTAGCCGAAGGGAGCTCTTATTATACTTGATGAATGGCCCATAAGTATCAAACTATGTGGAGGTAGCTAAACGGTTGGGACTTCAAATTCTGCCAAGAGTAGCCTCGAGGTCCTCTTGGAGAACGCATTAGCTAGCAAGTGGTGTTCAGTAAGTAGTTTAGTCGGCACAAGATCGTTCGCAGAAAGTTGCTTGTATCACCCTTTCAGGTTTTGCACTCTGGCATGTCCAAGATTTTAATGTGAAACATTTGTGGGTCTTTCAGTGAAAGAAAAAATAAACTATAAACGTTAGGACAGACTATAATGCAACAGAATGCGATACATATATATTGCGTATGCATCCTGTATGTGTAATACAGATTTTATTGCAGATGAAAAACAGAGCCAAACCAACAATTAAAGCCAGAGGCTTGTATTGGGAAGTTATAAATAAAGCTCCACTGGGTTTGGGCGGTGGTACTAGCTCGGGAAACAAGGACTGTCGAAATCAAAAATGAAGTTTTCGCCCTCATTGTGCAACTTTGTGTTTGTTTGTGACTGTTTGCAGCTACAAGTGTTCGGTACTCATAGTTTATTCCCAGCGGCACTGCTCAGGTTGCCCATTTCACAATGAAACCGTCTGGTTGTCGTGTGCAAACAAAACATATTCTAGATCAAGGGAACTTTTTGAGATTGTCTGTCAGAGAATGTTGGAAAATTTGAAAAAAAACACGGTACTAGACTTATCCGTGTGTTGCTGCCTCACCTACTACAGATACAAGTTGTTCTATCGAATGGGTCAAATCCGGATGGTGTGGTACACCATCCATAACGAACCCGGATTCACTTTCTTTTTCTCACCATCGCAGCCCTGTTACAGTGGTCTCTGGTACATTTCTGCCATGGTCTGTGTGGTTTAGCTTCTCGAGGTTGCTTTGTCCCACTGTAGTAACTAATCTATCTTCGTGTTATTCCCATTTGTACGCCAGTCTATCATACCCTTGTTTTGCGGCGACCAATGGGTCCAGTCCATACGACAACGCTCAAATCCTACAACTTATCGTCATGTAATAATTTTCCTCAGCCCCAAAATCCTGACAACCGATTCGTCAGTTCTCATCCACACTAGACTTTTTTATTATTGTTGGTCCAATGTGTGACTGGCCTGTACCGTTTTCATCTCGAGACGTTTCGAAAAATCAGACTAAGTCCACATAATCATAAAGGTGTTCCCTTGTAGAGATAAGATATCCCAGAGGAATCACCCTCCCTGTAACTTGAAACTCGAGACATTGTGTCCTGTCTTATGGTCACGTTTAGTCTTCAGATTTGAACCAGGACCGTGAGGTTTGTCTTAGATACATTTATGGGAAGACAGCGGTGCGTTTTAACGTCAGTTTTTAGATGATGCGAATTTCACTTCGTTATTTCAGCTCAGCTCAGAAATCTGATTTCTTAGTGTGAAATTTAGGTGTTTATTTGAGATCACATTTCCCGTTGTTTTGTATGAGAACATTTTTCGTATAGAGTTTCACTGTTGTAGCCACTGTTTTCAGTTTCCCAACCCTTCGGGAGCATGAAATGAACTACACGTTGTTTACAATTTTTTCCCATTTTTGAATAAGTTTTCACCTCTATCAATCAGTTGAAAAACGCTTGAAACCGACTGAGTAGTCATCGTTTTCGAAAAAGTTTGGTAACAATCGGTAGATTTATTGCTGCGCAACGTTCCGCTTTTGACACCCCTTCATTTTTATGAACCTTTTCCTACGTGATAGCGGATGAATGGCATTGGCAGTCTGTCGACGATTCTGTGGTTTTGCCCGCGCTCACCAAAGAAAGCTCGTCCCCTCAGGCTATCCGTCAGTTGGCATCCAAATATGATTTGTGCCTTACCGGTGAAGGAGTGGATGCATTAGCGCGCACTTCTCCAAATCTCCTTCGTATTCTCATCCCCAAAGTTAAAATTCACGCACGTGTGATCCCAAAACAAAAAGAAGAGATTCTGGTAGAACTCAAACGACTGGGCTACGTCACTCTGATGTGCGGCGACGGAACTAATGATGTGGGCGCATTGAAACAAGCGCACGTTGGTACGTTGCATCCGTTGCATTCTGTTGCTTCTGTTTTGTTTGGTTCGCTTATTCGGAATCTTCGATCGCGGCTGAATGCTTGCACTGGAGTAACTTTTCTGTCTGGTCCTTATCGCTTTGTCTGGTAATTTATGGCTAGTTTTTGCAAGATCAAAAGGCTCTGTCCGTTTAATGTTGCTGTTCCGCATGTCGGGACTATCCCTACAACGATTCCACGTGCCTTGCTTTTTAAATAAATCGTTTTCTTCGTCTGCTTTGTCAGGAACTGTAGTAAGCCGGCCCCTGTTTCTGACAGATGGCATTTACATTCGCACTGTCTCACCCATATGGCATTTGTTTTTTTTGAGCACTGTTTCACCCATATGGCATTTGCTTTTTTGAGTAGCCGTCGTTTTTTTCACTGTGCGGGCGATGTGCATCTGTAAGGGCACCAAGCACGTCTCGATATGTACAGACACGAATCAGAAACCTGCGCGCGCGATGTGCACCTGTAAGGGCACCAAGCGCGTTTCGATCTTTACAGACACGAGCCAACAGCCCTACCAAACAATCGTTTGCATCTATCTGTTGTTTCAGCATCAATGGTACACACCTGGCACTGAGGTTTTCATTGATTTATTTGAGTTTTTCTGTACACTTTTCACCCTTGATGGTTGTTTTCTGTCCCTTTGTGAATGAGTCGAAATCTATATAGAATGAAGTTGTGACCGACTGTTAGAAAGCCCAACCCTTGTCCCGAGGTCAACAGCTAGCAAAAAGGTTGCGCGACCGATCCTATCTACACCCGGTCTCTTAGTCCCGATACTGACGATGGACAATTTTTTCGGGATTGTCTATAGAGGAGAATGTCGGTAGCTCAGGTAGCGTAGATGGTCGTTGGCTTGTTCGCTGAGCTGGGCAATTTGGTTGCAGACGTTTCATCACCAATCGAGGTGACATCATCAGTGCGTAGTTGTGCATAGCGCACAACTCAGCGAACAAGCCAACGGCCATTTTCGGGATTGTACCTCAGATTTTTTATCAGTATCTGATCTGGTCTTACTCCCAGCTCATAATTTGGCAATCGTCTAGATAGTTTAGCAGTTGGTTAAGCATTCTGATCACTTACCAGCATCCGGTTTATCAAGGCAGCTCGTTGGAACAAGGCGTATAATTTCCATTTAACGTGTGCACTCATTTCATCAGCCTTGAAGGTTCTCGGTAGGTGTATATCTTTAGTCGTGATTGGGATGCGGACCTGCAATCTCCGATTCTGGGTAGATTGGTCGAACCTTAACCGGCAAGAACTGACGACCGCTGTTGCAATGTATGGTTCAACAACAAATCTCAGATATTGGTATCACATTTCATTGGGTTCATCCACTTAGGTTGGCTTATGCGAGTAGATTGGCGTTAGCTATCAAGATGGATGTTGTGTTGCGTGATACTCGACACGTTGTGCTTCTACATTAGCAACATAGCCTCATGATTATTGAGCGTCTTGGGGGTTAGTACAGATAGGCGAATATTCCGTATCAGTGCGGTTTTAGGTGCAATACAAAAAGTAACTGACCTCAATTAGTGGGTCGCAACTTGAGTTTGCCGGTTATGATTTTCGTACTTCATTGGCAGCTCATAGGCTGTTCACCGTTTGGTGTCTGCTCAGCACACAGCTCTTTGTGTACTATTTTCCGTCCACGGGACTACCAATTCTCATATCTTTACATCATGAATACACTACCTCCACAACTTGGGATTCTTTTCCGAACAAAGACTGGTTTTTCACACAGAAACTGTTCATTATAACTCCATCAAGACGGACTGAGAAAAACCATCATCTGTGAAATTCAGCTTCATTTTCCTTTCAGATAACTGAAGTTACATCTTCCGGAATATATCTGGTACAGTAATTAGGCTTTTTTGTATCTACTGAGTATTGTTAGTTACCAACCGTTGCTTGCTATGCGGATCCCTTGCAGCTTAAATTTACGCCACGCGTTTTTTACATTGCATTCTCAGGTGTGGCTCTTCTGAATGATGTCGACTCCATCGGGCCGGACCCTGAGAAGAAAGCTCTACAAACGCCAAATCTTCCGACCCGAAAACGGGAACAAAACTCGATTCAGTCTCGTGGAGATGGCAAAGGCACATTCAATTCACGTTTGGCCTCTTTGACTGCTGTGGAGGCCGAACAGGATGCCTCGGTGGTTCGCTTAGGCGATGCCAGTATTGCTGCTCCATTCACTGTCAAAATGTCCTCTCCTTCCGGCGGTAATTCTATGGGGTGTCATATATGTGCCACGCAACCTGATCGTTTTCATTTGCATTTTTACGGAAAAGTCTTAAAGCAAAATAAACATAATGCCATATTCATAATGTATTTGCTGGGTATTTTGTTTATTCACGTCACATTACGTAAGCTAGAATTGATACAGATTTTTTACCAGTTCTTTTATAGACTAATTATCTTATTGGTTGGGATAACTGACATTTTCAGAGTTTGGGACTCGTCCGACCGATTGGTCTAATCCGCCGGATAATCAACAGTCTAGTTCACTTCTCACCCTTGTTTAATGTGAACCCTCTGAGTATGCTGCACCGTTGATGGTCCTAGCTTTGATTGCGTTCACTCGGGTTTTCATAGTTTCAAAGTCCGCGATTTCCCTCACATAGTTTATCGACATGTCTTAGTTGCTACTGTGTGTTTCCAGCAATTCGGGGTTATACCTAGGCTTCAGCTTCTAAATTGGACTGAACAGTAGTTAGGCCTTCCTGCGAGAGCACAGCGAAGTGTAAGCGTTTCTCCAAACAGTCACGTGGTGGTTTACTCTACTCCATCCCTACTTTTCGTCATCTTCAAACGTGAGATGTAGAGTGACCCTCGGTGAGAATCAGCTGTAAAGTTCTTATCCTCTCAAATTTCAGATCGATTAGTTAAGGTGGAATTCAGCATAACCAACCAGTTCCAAAACAATCCTTCGTGGAACGTTCATAGCGACCAACCCTTTTCATATGTGTTATAGCTGCGATCTGAACCTTACTCAGAATGTTTCTGTTTATGCTTTCTTTCTCCCTGAACAGTTTGTCAGATCATAAAACAAGGACGATGCACCCTGGTTACGACGTTACAAATGTACAAAATCCTGGCAATCAATGCCTTGGTGTCTGCCTACAGTTTTTCCGTATTATTTCTGAAAGGATTCAAAACTTCCGATGCCCAGGCTTCTATTCAGGCGATTCTCCTGTCCGCGTCGTTTCTATTCATCTCCCGCTCGAAGGTCAGTCTTTTTCTACCTTATTCACTGCACGATAATAGTTATTACTCCTACGTTTCCTTCAGTGTGTCTCAGTCAATGGCTTCACGGGACCTTTCTTCTAACAAATCTCTAACTCTGTTCCCATCATTATCGTGGAAACACTTCTGGGAATCAGATCTCGACGTGGCTGTTTCTTCATAAGGACGGGTTCTATGAACACTCCTCAAAAGTAATTGTATGAGGAAGGTGTTAGCTTCGCCCTATCATTTTAGCTTCGGTCCCTATTGAAACTATGAAACTTTCCGAAATCCAACCGTAGCATCTTCATGAAGACCTGTTGGTGTCTTTAAATGGTGTAGTGGTTGTGATAATCAGATCGATCTTTCTTGCTTAACACTTCTCCGGCATGCACAGGTCCACTTACCGAGCGACAGCTGAAGGACATATCCAGAATAGTATAAAAGGACGTTGTCGATCTGACACTTCCTCCGTGGGAGTTCTCAAGCCTTTTCGGGTCGTCTTATGTGATTCATGGGTGTTTTCCTACGAGAACGGACTATGATGAATACGGGTCCTAAGCATGAGGGATTTTTTCTCGTGGGTCTTCTTGATGAATTTGGTGAGTTTTGGAGGAGGGTGAATGAGGGTATCGTGCTCAGATGATAATCAGCGAAGCGATTACCACCGTCGTTTCTGGGAGAATCTACACTCAATATTCCATCAAAACGGCTCTCTTTCATGTCAGTCCCCCCCCCCCCCCATAATTATAACCACGTACTTTGCAGTCCGGAGTCTCAAAAGGCGTCCACAAAAAATACTCTTGACACTGTCGCTGCAGCAATTTGTCAAGATGCATGCACATATGGCAGATTTCGGGTTTGAGGGCGTTGTTTACAGATTGGGTTAGCTTGACTGCGCAGTAGTCAGCCACTGAAACAACAAGGCGCTGATTCTAGGGCCGAGAAAGCTCAGTGGTTAGAGCCCTAATTTACTGACCGGAAGGTCTGTGGTTCAAACCCAACCTATGCCTCTCTACTTTTCCTGTCTAGGCTTGGCCAACCTGGCAGCATCTCCCTCGCGCTTCCTTTGGGTGGCATGGCAGTTAGGCACGGAAAGGGCGCTACAGCTGAACGATTTTTCATCTAGCCTCACTTCAGCTAGTGGTTTCATCACCTTTCCTGTCATCCAACGATTGATGACATTCCAGCTGGTGTTTCGAGGTCAACCCTATGCAGACGCGAACGCGCTTGGCGCTTTTCCACAATTCTTCAGTTATTCAACTTGATAAAATTGTTATTCAAATTGTGTGCACTACTGCTGTACTGTACTACTACTATTCAAAATTGTGTACTACTCATGAGGCTGCTGAAAATCCGTCGACAGCCCACGACCGGTTCCGCCCCTTTTTGGGGCTCATCAGGTAGGTGCAATCCCCGGGTTTCCGTCAACCTAATGTTCTACTTGGAACCAAATTGCACGAAATTAGCGAATATACACTCATTTGCAAACCAATTTGGTTTTTCGAGGAACTCACCTGGAACCTAGCTGGATCTCATATGTGATGTTTTCGAGTTGTTCAACTATTTAAGGCTAAGAGACCGAGAAGGTAGTCTCTTAAAGATGCTTTTTGCTAGCAGGTTCATGAGTCCGAACCTGTCTCATCAATGACCCTGTGCAAAATTTGGAGCTTGCAAAAGCAACTGGTTAAGATTGATTCACTACTAGTTATCAGTGAGTAGTTATCGTCACTGTACCAGCCTCTTCTCTGGCGGCCTCCAGCGACGAGGCACTTGGGAGTCATCCTTCGGTCTTACTCTTAGTCAACTGACTCTCGAGGTCACATTTTTTACAGTTAATAATTTTATTGACCGATCCACCGAAAGAGACATTTTCGGTACTTTTTACGTAACCTCGTGGTTTCACTACATCCCACACATTTGCGGTGGTAAAACGCGGTAAAAATGTTCCTGTTTACACTTCAAACTGAGTTGGCTGGCTGTTTTTTGTGAAGCGCAGGATATTGTTTTAGCTGTTCATTTGCTCTGTTTACCCAGCCCAGAGATATCACCATCAGGAGAAGCCTATATTTTACACGGTTTCGGGATTAATCGTGATGCAGCACTCTACCTAATGCACTGCTCTGTGATACTCCTTTTGTAGTTCGACCTTGAGGGCTATGAGTCTCCGTTTCAAAAGAGGTTGTTTGTCCTTCTAGACGCTTATCGATAGGCTTGACGGGCTCCTCGTAGAAAGAGACTATCGAACGGGGAACTAATATTAATGTATTTCGGTATTTTTCCGAGTCTATCTCAATTTACTTCACCCTTCCACGGGAGCTACTGACGTGTTAAGGGATGTCGCATGGGGCGTAGTTGATGGTCGGTTTTTTAGTTACTCCATGCATTCAGTTGAGCCTTGACCGGTTGACTCCTATTTACTCACTGCTTGTCTTTCGACTCGTTTCTTTATGGATAAATGAACGCTAATATTGTGACTGGTCATATGCGATTTGGCCAGCAGTAACATGTCGATCAGCGATCTTTGCTACCGGAAAATGAAGCTCAGTTAACTGCTGAGAACTACTTGTATCCGGACCTATGATCCCGTGTTTCCTAGATTGTTTCAAACGCGTGTTTCTGCTAAATTCAATCACTACTAGGCACACACCACCTGCATTCAGTTAGTTTCATGCACGCAAATGAAAATGTTTTTCTCCCCAACCCGTGTTACAGTCTCATTTGTATGCCAGTCACCTACCAATACACTCCTACCTTACGACGCGGCTTTTTGGACGGCGGTCATCCTATTTACTTATCCAGTGTTCCATATCTTCCCTAAATTATTGATTTAGCACCTTGGGTTCTTCGTGAATCAAGTTCAGTTGATTTCGGTTCAACTACCTAGTTAAAATCCATGTGCACTGTGTGCAGTGAACTGTTCTAGTTTCCCCCAGCTGTCATTGGGCAGTGATTCTACACTGATTGTGAATGTTCACGGCGTGTCAAGCTAGGGACGCATGCTGTTGGAAAGTGCTTAAATAGCAGTCAAACCTTAGTACCTTTCTGCTTTATAGTTATTGAGCATTCCGCCAGTATATTCATCCTATTCAAGCTGCGCTCCACTAGTTCGGTTTCGCAACTAAATGACAGTTTTGTTCGTGAGAGATTTGTGGAAGCGACCATCTGGGGCGTGTTCCAGTGGTGAAGTGCATCCTGAAATTGATAAGTCTTGACCGCTCTTGACTATTCAGAGCGTGACTTTTGTATTCCTGTTTCTAATTTTCAAATGAAGGACATCTACACTTGCCCTGATGTTTTCGCAACATGCTTCTTGGTTTATAAAACCTGTATGTAACCAGTATACCCATGTTAAAATTTAGTAACTGATATCACAATACTCCATTTTCACCCGCTTCGCTTTTGCCTTTCTGCCTCAGCCTTTGAAAACCCTTTCCTACCAACGCCCGATTCCGAACATCTTCAACGTGTATACGCTACTCACAGTGACGTTACAGTTTCTTGTCCACTTTTCCGTCCTGTATACTCTTACCTCGGAGGCCGAAGTCCGAATGCCTGTCAAGTGGGTTGTTTTTTTCAGTCAGTATGGTTTTTATGCTTGACACCCAAATAACTCGGATGAGTTTCTGTGATGTTTGACCGCAGAACCCAATCGGTACGGTTGATCAGCTGACGCGAACCGCTTGATATCCATGTGCGTTTTCTTCCGATGCTGGTGCACCATTCCGGTACAAGTAGCGCCATTCGGAATGATTATGCCTGGATTTATTACACTTTCAACATGCACCTGTCCACTTTGCTCCGTTCGGGTAAATACCTGTGCTAGACGTGTTTGTATTGTTGTTGTGTTACTAACACTAGCGGTGAACCGATGTTCCCAACCTATCACTGACAGTGATTTTCTTATCCGAGTCTTGCGAACCGTCATTGGTACGAACTGCTTGTTGCAGATGAATACTTGATCTTATCGACTTTCTGACTGAAGGCATAAATATGGATGGCGGACGATCATGAGCACCGAAATCGATCACATTTGAATCTGAAAAGGCTTATGTTGTTTTACAGCATTCCTGAAATTATCAGGTAGTTAGAGTCAAATACTTGTCTACCCATCCCCAATCGCAATACGTATGAGTAGTTGTTTGCAGATAGCCAGGTCATGAACGCCATTTATATATTTGCGACCAGTTCATAGAGTGCCTACGGTTTGACCTGAATGCTCTCTGCGGCCATCACTCATTCGAATTAGCGCAAATGGATTGTGCAAAAAGACCACCGCTACGAAACTGATACTTTTCAGGTTGTTCCTGATATTTGTAGTTGACAAGGTCCATAACACTAGATAACCCTGTTTATGCCCTATTTTCAGGTCATGAGTTTGGCGCCATGCGTTATTTCTTTCCAACGTGAACGTGCCATAGCAAGTAGAGCGCACCAGTGCGATGACGGCATGGTCAGAAGTGCTATCAACCAAATCTCACGGCCATCACTGTTCGGGATTTAGGTGTTCGACGCAGACAATCATATATCAACATTTCAGCGTTGATCGATATGCGTAATTCGGAGTGGCGCCGCACGAGTACCTGCAATTACCTTGTTAGCATCATTCCTCTGTCCAGTGATGCTGACAATCAATCAATGTAATTTGCCCACGGTGAACTTGGAATACAATGCACACCCTGAAGTTTACGACATTTTATATATTTCCAAGCAGTTCGGTACGCTTCAGGTACCGCAGCATTCCCTATCCAGAGGCTAGAGCCAGATAATGAAAAAAGACTCATTTCGCGGTAGCGAAGCCTCAGTGTTGAATATTGACGTGCTGTTGATGATGATTATGATGATGATGAAAGACTCATACCATCAGTTTGAGTAGGCAAAAGCCTCACCGATGACTCAGTGAGTGTTTGCCATTGAGCCATGTGCCCAGTGATGTGACGTAGTCCACAACACAAGCGGACGTATTGGACAAATAGGTTCAAAACTTTGTCTAAGGCAATCGACTCTAGGATTGCCACCGCCTGCCTTTTCGCCTTATCAGTGGTTACATTAGTGGGAACGAAAAATCCGCGGTCGTACCGAATTAGCAGCTGTCGATCGAGAAAACTCCCAAGGGGACTTCACGGGAATGAGGTAATCATCCGGGGACTCAGAGCGACGAACGCAAGGTTACACTGAAGTTGAAATACTGTGCCGACATGGACGACCGCTTGTACTGTCTGTCATCATCGTCATCTTGATTCGTAATACTCTAGTGAATATGGGTGCGTCCCCTCCATGCGGCCATTAGACAGTGACTGTGATCAGTCTTACAACCAGTGTTGTCATTTATTCCAAATGAAACCCCATGGCACAAAAGGGAGTACAAAGATTGGAGGGAAGGGACTAAGCAATTTCTTACCACTACCACTCTTGTTTATTATCCCGAATAAGCTGGAGTAAGACTCACGCACATGGATGATCCCGTTGTGGAAAGTCGTATTCTGCTTGAACATCATCTGCTATTCACTGTCTTACCCTGTGTTTTATTGCATACTCAAGTTTAACAGTTTAACATTCCCATTTACTTTCAGGGAGGATGATTTCATTGACGTGCATGCTGAGTTTGAGCCTTCCATATTGAACACGGTTGTTTACTTGATATCAACGGGAATGCAGGTTAGTCCTGTGCTTTCACGCGGGCTATACAACTGTCCTCTCTTGTTGTTCTACCCAACCAAACTTTTCCAATCGCAGGACTAAGCCGTTACGGTGAAAAGGGTAGCTCTACCACGTGTATCATCGGGTCCGGAAACCACATTCATTGATCCCCTGAATGATGGCATTAACGAGATGAGTTGATGAGCTTCTAGTGCTCGAACATAGTGTATCATTCCTAGAATGTCCGAGATTGTCCATCTGTCCACTGGAGAACGCCCATCTTGATATTTGATTCCGAAGATCTGCACATCGAGTTGGGTGCCTTTCATTGAACTACGCTGTTATATCAGTTTGCCGCGTACCGTGCTTGTGGGGATCAGAACCTGACCGCGTATTTGGATGTGCAGAGTCATCTCGCGGGAAAATCGGGTCGCATGTCACGCAGCCCTCTGACAGAAGTATATACACTTCAGACTTCACTGAATCGCAGATTATAAGGGGGTTGAATTGCTGTGTAAACTCTTTCACGTAGACTCATTGAAATTGGACAGCCTCAGATGAACAAGCGGCTCCCGGGTCTTATCTGATAGAAATGAGTGCACCGATCCTCCACAATAAAAATTTCACCCACTGGCTTCTTGAACTCATCAGGTAAGCCAATAACGCTGTGTCTGAGATGCGATGCCGTTGTCCTCCTCCATGGATGAAAATAAATTCTGCCCATGACATCTGATGACCCCGTTAGACCTGGTCGTCAAAATTGTCTGTATCCTCCCACGCAGGCTTCCTTTCAAAATCCGGCATGTTTATATAAGGTCTCGACAACGGCGTCAGTTGTTCGGGTAGCCAGATGATCTTCATAAAAAACTCGGAACAGCCAGCAAACTCTTGTGGTACCGCTTCCCTGGAACTTTTTCATTAGATCTCCTTGTGTGTGACGAACTTGAGTGTAGAGCCTCAGGAAAACAAGAGCTGAAAGGTCTTATGGGTGCCTGAAACATGCTTGCGGCTGCAATAGATCTGCGCTTCGTACCGCCGATGATTTTCTGTCTGGTCATACTAAAACGCTTAGTCCTTCTCAAAAGAAGCTATGAAGCAGCAATCTCGCTTTGATTCATTTTATGGGGTTGTGGATTGTTCTCGAATAACAGAAAGAAGACCGAACACAACCAGTTCAGAGTTACTTTGAACCCCCTACTGCTTCGCCAGAAGCTGTCCTCAGTTCACTTGCATATAGTGGACAGTTGAGTTTCACCAGCGTTGGTAGATCATTCACAAAAGCCTTGAATAGGGTGGGGTCACCCACTGGCTCCTGAGGTACACTTCTCATGACCATCGACGGCGATAGTAAAGTACTGTTTTTGCGTATACTCAAGTTTCTGGTGAATAGCCAGTCGCGAAAATGCAAGACATCACTGTGGCACCCATGGGCGAATTCGGTCCAGCAGGTCGACGGTCCCCGAGATTAGATTCGTCTTCGCATTGAATTCTGGCCTTGATTGATTGATCGTGGAAAGCGGTCTAGCTGTAATGAATTCAAAGGTTTTGACACTACGGATGTGGCTCATCCTACCTGAGATTGGTTTTGCGTCTTGTTGATTACCGATTGTGGAATAATTCATTGGGTTCGTGTTTTCGGTCCTGCACTAGGTGAAGTTCAGACGGTTCTCGATTACTGCACTTAAGCGCGCTCCCCCGGTTTCGAGATGCTTTGTACTCAATATAGTCCGCCCCAAGTAATGCCCTGTCCCGATTAATCTCTGTGGTTCCTCAACCTATTCAGTTCTACGTCGATCCACGGAGAGCTTTAAAGGTCTCCCTTGCAGTGGCTGAAGGCGATGCACACTTCTGACAGGTGGTCGTTTAACGGAGACCACGTTCGGAAGGATTTCAGGAGTGCGCATTGACAAGTATACTATACGGAAAAAAGGAGTCGACTTAGGATAGGAGTCATCTTAGAATGACTGAATACCCCAGAGGCTCGAGGGGGCCCAGGTTAAGTACAACATACTGCAGTGGTAAGAACAGGATTTGGGGTATCCTTAATTTGTTAGATTGACGCGTCGTCGGAAACAAGCACCAAATCCAGACAATCTTCAGGAACTTGTAGTAGGACGAGAAGTTCGGTATGGGATCTCTGATAGTACACGGCTGGTTACCCAGAATAAAATACTTCCTCCCCGATGGATGAGATGTCCGTGTAATAGGTCACTGGAGGCTTCCGCACACATGACAGGGTCACTGATAATTTGAAGGCTGAACCATAGGTTCTCATCCGTACCACCACTTGACCCATTCTGGGACTGAGGTGCCATAATGTGCTACTCTGTTGAATTCGATCGGGCCAGAAGAAGCACTATCCGGAGTGATAACCTTTCCAATTGTCAGTGAGCCAGATTTTCACGAAAGTTATCACAGCTAAATCCCATAGACCTATTTGTGTGTGCTATTCGTCAAACTTATTTTTTAAACTGCTCACATCCCTTGGGACCACGAATATTGTGCGTTAGAGTAAATGGGGTAAATGTAGAGACTGGGTCGCTTTCCTCACTCTCAGTATCCCGTGGGACACTTGAAAATCCATAATTTGTATTCGTATCACTTCTGGTGCCCTCCGGGGTTTCAACTCCACCACAGTTTTTGTGATTACTTTGTACTCCAGGGCTAGATTATTCAGGATTCGTGACCACTTTGTCTTCCGAAATCATTTCGATATTTGATTCCCCATCATTAAATAAATTGAGGAAGCGGGGTTGTAGGAACCCTTGCTCATCCCTGGTGCACCGGGGTTTCCACCACAGTTTTTGTGATTACTTTGTACTCCAGGGCTAGATTATTCAGGATTCGTGACCACTTTGTCTTCCGAAATCATTTCGATATTTGATTCCCCATCATTAAATAAATTGAGGAAGCGGGGTTGTAGGAACCCTTGCTCATCCCTGGTGCAGTTTTCAAGGACACACGTAGCGTCCATTCATCAGTTTCCGTTGTCGTATGTGCTTTTCCGCCATATCTATGTGTGGATGTCATTTACTATTCTTCATATTTTCAACTAAACACGAGATGAGGCAGCCATACATCTTTTGCGGTATTCATGCGCGTGTCACCAACCTGGGGTCTAGCCGACCAAACCAACCAATGTCATTGGATTCATCCATAGTAGGCCGGCACTGTGTTTTCCAACATGGCCGCGTCATTGTGGAAGAGTCATGCGTCGCCACCAAGTCAACAAAGGATGTCTCGACATGCGCCAGCGTGGTAGGCTTCTCGAATAAGATTGGTGATGTACTCGCGAGCAGTATTGAGTTACTCATACATTGTTGTTAATGCACCTGGAGACATTTTGTCCCTTGTGGAATCACTCATTCCATGCATCGAATTCTGAGAAAACTTGAACTCGAATTCAGTAGCATCAGGTAAAACTCTGACATCACTTCTACACTTTAAATCCATTCAGCGCACCGATCGGAATGAAGTGCATGTGTGCGCTTTGTGATGGCCCCACGACACTGTTGATGTTTGCAATTATCGTCCACCCCCATTACAACAAGGGTGAGTTTTGCAAGACCTGACCATATCTGGCAGCCTGCCAATTACGGTTTCCAGGAACACACTTGGGTATATTAGAATGTCCCCTCTTGAGGTGACAAATAAGGACCGCGTAAGAGCTTTCCGTATAGGGGCGATGAAATAGCGTTAGACTTGAGCAGCTTTTTTAACGTGCCACAAAAGCTTGGCTTTCAACTGGACTAGGTATTGCGGATATTTGCTGTTCTTGCACACCTCTGACTGAGGCCTACGGTCACAACCTGATGACGCCTGTCCTTCAGATCATCATGTGTGAATAATTTTCGTGGAATGTAGTTTGAGTCGAATACGAATCATGATCGTGTCCATAAATATAGGATTATCCTTCTTTGTTTCATCATACGTTTCAGCTTCACTGGGGTCAGTCAGTAAAGTGCCCCTACGTATGTTACCCTACGGGCATGTTAGTTCGATTTGTCAATTGTTCAAATTCAAGTCCAGACAAGTTGAGTTTACTTATATGACGGGGTAATCCGTAGTTCACGAAATGCTACTGGAACCATCCAATCTTTTTCCAGCTCCACATCTACCAGGTAACATGCCGAATCCAATTTCTGAGGCTAATCGCCCTAAGCATTAGGATGTCGTAGAAGTTCGACCACAAGAGGACGCTCCTGACAGTATTTTGTACGCCAAATCGTCGTCGTTTGTGGTACGACCGTCACCATCATCAGCCCTCACAGTATCATTAGTCCAGCATATTAGAGCTGTACAACCGAGACAATAGCTGGCCGACTTAGATTGTGATTCGGATAATGATGTTCCTCAACTTATCGTGAAGTGTGTGGGATTAGCAGGGGTCATTTATGCGATACGGGCAATCTATTAGACGGACAACAAATGCCAAAAACTGAGTCTTGGGGTTCCCCTCCGGAAAGATGACAGCTGCCAGTGCGATCGATTTTGCTGTTTCTGATCATTTTGCTTCTTTGCCATGTCATTACCTTATCATGCTTAGCACACCACTCAGTGCACGGTTGAGCGAAAATCCTTCCCGGGGGAGTCTGTCTGTTAACTTTCGAAGCGTTTGAACTGCCTACGTCATCAACCGTTTACGTAACCGTCCGGATCAATAGCACGTGTAATATTCTATTCCGGGACCCGAAAATGTTTGTTCTTCGGGTCCGATGGTTGGATCGGAGTTCCGTTTTTGACGGGGGAAATTTTGTACCGATACGCTTTTTCAGTGCGAATGTTCTCTCATCCGGAGAGCATTGTACACCCAACTTAGCAGGTGCTCTATCTGTGCGGTGTTAGGCAATTAATACACTCCTCTCTCCCCCAAGGACAAATGGTTTCACTTGAAAGCACATACCTCTTGACATTGTGACTACATGCTTTTCAAGCCGGTGTACGAATGTGCAATCCTTATTTGTGTACTCACCGGTTGTTGGACAGTCTGTGTGCATTTGTCAGTGAACAGTATACGCCCATATGCTGCCTCATTCATCTCCATTTTGTATTTGTTTGTACTTCTGCATCTATTGAAAACAACAAACTTCTCTCTAGCTCGTTTGACCCTATTCTCGCCTTCAGATTTCAACGATTGCTGTCAACTACAAAGGGCATCCATTCATGGAATCTTTGACAGAAAACAAACCGATTAGCATTTCTTTGGGAGTTGCCACTGGGGGTGTGATCCTTCTCGCCCTGGGCGTATTTGCTGAGCCGTTGCGTCTCATTCCCTTGGATCCTCAAGTATGTTGCACATAACTTTTATGGACCACTTGTCGGTTTCATTTACTTATATGCTGGTCGAATGCATTTAATTTCAAAATATCTACCCATGTTGAAAACATTTGAAAGCAGATGTTCCTTGTTGCCCTCTTCTCTCCGCAGTTGCGCCTCACATTCCTCAAAGCACTGGCTTTCGACTTCATCGGAACCTGGCTCGTGGATCGCATCCTTGTGTTAGTCTTCGGGCGTGTACACAAAAAAGCACTGTGATACCCCGGGACCGTTCATTATCCCGTTGTGAAATGCCTTTTGTGCTGCCCACTTTCAACCAATGGCTGTTCTCACCCCAACAGCCAAATCAAATCGCCGCACTCCGTACTCCCACCGGCTGATGGTTTATACTTTCTATGTGTCACATTTTCTTTAGGCTGCAACTATCCCCGGATTTTGTGTGTCTGTGTGCTAAGATTTCATTCGTACTTTTAATAACTGACCATCCCCTGGTCAAAACGGGCGCTGTACCCCTTGGACATTTTGTCGTTCCCTAAGTGATGCTCTGCCGAATTCCCATGTTTTATAACCCATTTGTCAAACTTGTTTGAAATTCCTCACTCAATGTGGACGGATATTCGTAGTGTGTCTTGACTAATTGTGTGCAACTTTGTTGACGTGAGAAAACTTGAAACCCTTCCTCTTGAAAGTGTACACCATGTCACCTATTTAGGAACCCTTGTCGTATTGTATTGGCTGTAAAACACGTGTTTACAACTGAAAACTGCACTGAATTACACTGTCTTGTTTTATCGGTGGCTCACTCTGACAGGCTTGGTTTCGTCTGATAGTTTACGTAAACGATGGAAACGTGTGAAAATCCATTTCTTCTCAAGACAAGTGGAGAAAAATCTGATAGGAAACACCACAACAGCTAACTGCTTCGAGTCCTTCCTACCCAGTTGGTTTCGAGTCACGCTAGCTCGATACAATGGTTCACTGATTTTGATATTTTCTAGATATAAGACGTTACGAGTAAATGTATCACAAGGCGGATAACTCGCATCTTATAAATTTGATCAATCCTAGCGAAATACACTCATTTGATGGAAGACTCACTTGAAACCTAGCTGAATCCCTCGTTTATGTTTTTAAGCAACTGAATGTGCTGCACCAGACCGCTTCATGTTTCAGTTGGTACGGTATTCGAGATATCGCGATACATGTATGGACGTAATACACTGCTCAAAAGGATGTTGGAAACTCTTCGGCAGTCCACGACCGATTTCGCCCTTCTTGTACAAACTCCAGTGTTGGGTGTTGAAACTGTGTACTACCTATTACTACGGCTGAGGCTAATGGTCTTATAACCCCAAAGGTTTCGTAGGAATGACAGTATGATCGGAATGAATCAACTGTCCAACTCAGGGCTTTGGGAAAGAATAATTCGTACGACGAATTAGCCTTACTCACTTGAGAGATTGGTCAAAATGTGACCGCGTGTTGTGGATCCCATGTTTAAAGGACGAGTAGCGCCATAGAAATGTGCGAGTTAATCTTACTGTTGATCGGTCGCTCACGGCCAAACAGTTGACTATTCAAACTGCTAGTCGGGCTCGAAACTCGATCTACGTGAGACGCACACTGTTAATAATTCAAAATAAGGATGAAGCAGTTGTACAGTGTTTCTCGGCTTTTTGGCACGGACTGTTTTCACTTACGGGAAGAAATCTCAACCGAGCTGAAATTCGGATCTTTGATTCTACGATTTAGCCAAATTGGGCTATGTTCCCTGTTTCTACGGGACCGTCAGCTTACAGTCAATGTATGTGAACCCACATGGGCATTTGAATAATGACAACCAAAGCTGGTCATTAACCACGGCAGGTCGTCCTATGGTCCCATGCTCATGGTCGGTTTTGATCTGAAGATCCTCCGTAAATTTCTCACTGCGCAAGTTGTTTCTGCACACATTCTTAACATCCGCGATCTTATCTTGGCGCTACAATCACTTCTGGAAGACGGATCGATATGAACTGGTTTCTGTTCAAGTGACACCATTCTCGGTCTCTCGAGAGAGTAACCATTCTAAATGAATGCTCTGAATGCTCCGCTTTCAACGTGTTCTCCGAACAAATCCCCATTACTCTATCGGTCAGATATCGTACAATATTCCTATTTTGGTTTGATGAAACGGCTCTTACAACGGACCTATTGTCTAGCCCACTTTGGCAGCTTTCAAAGTGGGACGACCTCTGAAAACCGTCGGCCGATGAGTTGCAAAGTTCCACAAGGAATCCTCAAGGAGAATCGTTGATTTTATTATTATATAGCGTCAACTTCCGGAAGAACGCTGGGGGCAATAGGTTAGAGCGATTCCTATGTTCGACAGAGAAGCCACTCAGGAGAATCTTGCTTGGTGCTCATGGTTATAAATCTCGATACTGAGCCTTATTACTTCGAACTTCCAAGCAATTGACGCTCGACTGGTTTTAAGCATTTTAAGCATTCTCCATGTTCTTGAGCTGACGAGAGCTACTGAATAACGGCCATCCGAATTGCATGTGCCGAACAGCAGTCGTCAAACCATCGAACATTTGCCCGTAGCTACCGAAGCACCGATAGTTTGCTCGGAGCCGAATAAGGTGCTGCATACAAGCCCTTGGAATCAGTATAGACACTACCAACAATGTATATTCGTGCACAATTATCAATCGCAGAAAATGTAAGGATGGCCCCGGTCAGCTCCATCGATTCTCGTCGGTAAACTGAGGCTTCGAGACGCCACAAGGGCAAAGCTAACGAAAGTGAATGTGGTTTGGGAAATAACCTTTGAATTTGCTTGAGAAAGGGGCCAGTGGCCTATACAAGAACTTCATTCTGCACTTGCAACAAACAAGAACGTGGTCGGATGTCTCAGAAGACTGACTGCAGTGAAGCGAAAACGTTTATCAGTGTTTGTGCAAATTCACAACAGTCAACATGCTTGGATGTAGGGCTTCTGTTTGAAAGTTTTCTGGTGACCCTATATCCTCATTTTCTCAACCTGACCGTAACTATAGGCTATCAAATGCGTGCTTCGGCTTGCCTAGAAAGATCTCACTGGAAAACAGATTGTGAAAGCCTCTGTGAGTATCAGTGAGGGATTTCATCTATTCAGATTACTTTTTAATCTAGTGGATTCTCACTGGTAAGAAAAACCCTAATGTTGATTGGTCGTCCAGATCTTAGTGTGAAAGGCTTGAGAGTTTGAGTGGCATTAGTAGTTTGTTGATCGTGAACGGTTCTGAGGATTTTGTGGTCATTTTTTGGCATCCAACAACAACTTGTTCCAAGGTACACCTGACAGGAAACCCGATGATTTTACTTTGACATTTCCTTTGGCATTTCAAATTGAAAGAAAATGTAACAAAACCTCCTTTGGTATCAATGTCCTTCCCTGAGTTTGACCCACTGTCTCTCCAAGAATGGTTCATTTTAAAGTAAGCCGAAGTTTCAAAGGGTTAGGCACAGCGCTTACCCTTACGCATACACAGGTCATCCTCAGCAGAGGTCACACTATACGTTACCACGTAAATGCCCCAAAACTCGTTCGTACTGGGTGAAACTGGGCACTTCACATATTGGTACCTTGGTAAGCAGCATTCAATACACCCCGCACAATTTGGTAGTAGTAATTTGGAGGCACACACTTAGTTTACGGTTCACTGACTCACTTGTCGATTGTTGTGGCTTCATTGCTGGGATTAATCAGAACAAATGCCCCAAGGCATTTCGGTTGATGTCTCTACACAAGCGTTGTTTTACAGCCAGGATGAAACGACTTTGTACACCCTCGAATAAGGAAAGCTCCAGAATGCTTTGCCCACAAATAAAGAACTAAACCGCGCTTCGGGGACCTTTATGGCTTCATACAAAATTTTTTCGATTATGTCCATGGGATGAATGCATTTGCAAACAAAACCACAACTGATAGCAATGGTGAAACCATTGATTGTTTCATGGTATTGATCATATTAGGATAACTGAACTTCTTTTGCCTCTATTTTCCAACCCTGAGAACGCCGAACTGTCAATGCATCCACCTATGATACCAACACACATTGCTGAATCGATAGGTTTAAGTAACATACTCCACCATACCTGAGCATACATAACTGAATGTGGATTACAGATAAGGCGCCCGGTTGGATTCCCACCTCAAACTCCAACGTTGCTTAAGTGGTGATGTTTTATTGTAAGCCTTGCTTCCTTTTTGCAATTGCAATTGTAGCCTTCAGCTAGAATGTACACTTCACAGATGCAGAATTAGAAATCGATCGACCGTAGATTGGAGACACCAGAGAAGTAATTGCACGATTTCATTGGCTCTTTGACAGCTATGGTATGTTCAGTCGATTGTCGTTAGTCTAACCTGAGGTTAAATGCAGTATTTATCCGGTGGCATACAAGTGTACATCTTAGACTTATCCACAGGTGTCTCACATGTTAACTTTTCAAAACGACAGTGCCGCTGCGCGTGTCGGTGTGAAGTATATTGCCACCCCGCCTGCCTAGGTTGCATGGGATTTTTAATCGTGTCTGCTACTGGTTTGCCTCTTTTCACTTCATCATCCGTCGCCAACCTCTATTCGTGAACAGCCACGACATATTGTTCGGGCGCTGATACATTTGGTTGCATGTGTCATCTCCCTTTTGAGCAGTGAAATGCTGATTGATACATTCTGTCAAGTCCGCTTGATGCCTGGTGTACTGAGGTAGAAACCTGAAGGTAACCATGCCTCCCGATCTTGAAAGTGCCTGGTGCCTGAAGGCTGTGTATCCTAATTGTCTAACATTGATGTAATTATCTCATCTGTTGTGTGGCCTTTGATATGGAAAGATAACACTAGGCAGAACTGGCAGAGGAATCCACCAGTACGTGATGTCCAGTTGATTGGCAGGACGTTTTCCTGACAGCTTTTCGTCGAGATAGATCCACTTGAGGAACACTGACGCGTGGCACCAATTTATGAGAAAACTCCTTGTGGAGAGATACCCTGCACGAAATCTATATATGGAAGAACTATTTAGTGAGAATCTAATAATACGCGAGTCATGAGAAGTGCTGGATGCGCTGTTCGGTTTCAGTCATCTTCCCAAAGGTTCAATAAAACATGCCTGCCAAGAGCTAGTGTGGTCTTGACCACGAGAAGATTTTTTCTACCGAATGAGAAACAGCAGAACTAGGAAGCTGTGACCTAAAAGGCAGGTGATAAGCGGCCAAGAAACATTCGCAAACATTCCAGTCGTTAGGAATTGTCTCCCGGTGACTGCTAGCCAACAGGTTAGGGCGGTTTTGATCATAGAGAGTATGATCTCAAGAAGAGTGATCGAATACGAAGCAGCTGCCTGAATGCGTCGCGGAATACGGTGCATGTTTCTGTTTGACAGTGCCGTTTGTGTGAGGCTTGGACAGTATTGAGTCATCTACTTTAAAAGATGAAGTGAAGCTCTAATTGTGGCATCTCGCATGGTAGAGCAATACCACAGGTGGAGTACACTGAATTTGAATTATTTCTGACTGTGGAGATTCAGATTGGCTTATCGAGTGGAATGTGTTATCGCTAGTTTTGCTTAAATCCTCCCAAAGTACAAAAGCGCTAGCGAAACTGGAAGCTGAACCTGAGTAAATCCTCTGACAATTTTTCATTTGGTTATATGGTATGGTGTTGGATCACAAAGCGGATACCGCTGGCCCTGCGTTTGTCTCTAGCTACATGATTATGGGCTCATTGTAAAAGAACAA